CCCCTCATGTAAAAAAGAAATGGTGCAGTTCTGTGACTTTTTAAAGAGATTTAAATCCTTCAAGGCATGGTTTCTACCCTGACCAGCTGAATGAATGAAGGATATGAATCTCCTATTTGTGTCATAGTCCATTCACAGATTATTCCATCCTGGAATATTATAATTACCCTAGAATTGAATGTGGTGTTTACCCTGAACTATTGAATGTATAGAATTTAGGGCTGCTGGACAGATTTGTTGAGTTATTGGAAGGGATGGTCTGCTATCGGTTCTCCCCCGTTCAGGCAAACCAGTAGATAATTTTATCATTTTTAATAGCCAGTTTGGCTATTAAAATCCCTGCCCTGACTGGCCCCGCCCACTCCACCCGCCTCCACGTGGCCCATTTTGGATGCCAGGTAAGTACAGGGCCCGCACTGAGACTTGGGAAGGGCGAAAATGGGCCTCCAGAAGGCTCCAGAAGGCTGGAAACGGCCCATTTCCAGCCTCCAGAGTGCCTCCGGAGCCCGGGGAGGGCAAAAATGGCCCACACACCGTGGTACAGGAGGCCAACTAGGCCATGCCCACCATGGTCACACCCACCCAGCAATCGAGCAGAGAACCGGTTGCTAAAATTTTTGAAGCCCACCACTGGCTATTAGTACACTGCCACAAGAAGAGAGGTGTTTACATTTTCTCTTATTCGTTAAGATTGTCAATGTTTTAAACTGCCAGGAATCTCAGAAGCTGCAAAGCAGCTGGAGAAGCCATAATAGGCAGCAATATTATGGTAAGGTGACCAACCGTCCTTCTTTAGGGAGGAAAGTCCTCCTTTTGTAAGTTCTGTCCTCTCTCGAAAAGTGTCCTCCTACATGTCCTCCTTTTTGATATTTGAACACTAATCTGTAAATCTCCATATTTGATCGAGGCTGACCCATTGTGTGTGATGTGACGTTTTTTTATTTGACATGACGATTCGTCAAGGCCCATTACAGTGCGGTGAGACGCGATTATGAGACGCATGCGCTCCACACTCAGAATTGTTTTGAGTGTGCTGCACGCAAGAGTGCCCCATGCACATGAGTGCGCCATGTGCAAGAGTGCGCCACACACAAGTGGCTTTGTTTTTTTTCTTCAATTTATTTGTGTCCTCGTTTTCTTTGTAAAAAAAGTTGGTCACCTTAATTATGGTGAAGCATAAGGGGAAAAGGCTTGGCTGCCTCTCTTATTCCATCACATTCAATTCCAGGGTAATTAATGAACAAGTGATGTGAATCAAGGATAATAAGCATAGGTGTATCCTATTTAGTACCTGTGAAGTTTAATAGCTTTTTTTCCTTTTACTGACATCACAGCATACTCACCACTCTAAAATATTCATTTTATTGCTTGCTAATTTAAAATAAAGATATTATGACAATCAGGCTCGATTTTTATGAAGCTACTTTTATGTATTTGGAATTAGTACGGATTCAAACACACAGATGGACATCTTACGTTCCTGTCTTCAGGTTTCGCAGATAATCAACTCTGCACATTCATGATGTCTTAATCTCCTGAATCACAAAAATAAGTATGCATGTGTTCATGTGGGGACCAAGGATACAGACATGGTTTGTTCATACAAAGCCTTTGAAAAATTGCTTGGAAAAGGGTGGGCGATGGCCTGAGAGTGCAGCATGGAATTAGGACCATATGTTCTCAGAGCAATTCTTCCCTAGACAAACACTTGCTCCAACCTAGGTCTATTTTTAAGGAAACAGAGAATATTCAATGTTGAATTCTAAAAAAAATTGCTTTTTAACCACTTGGACAGTTTTAGCTTAAATTTCCAACTTAATCTTTGTTAACTTGATTGATACACAATACTTAAAGATATATAGTATATCACCGTAGATATGTAGTTGAATATTAAACTAGAATCTAGCTAGCACAGGAGCTACATATGAAAATTCTGACATTTGAGAATTAAGCCTAGTTCATAAGCTTCTGAATAAGTAAATAACTGCCCCAAATTAGTAAATAAGCCCCATAAAACTGTATTTGGGAGTACTAGCATTAAGTAGTTAGTATGGGCCAAGTATTTTAGAGAAAGAAAAATGAGCTCCTGTAATGAGCCTGTTGAACAGAAACAGTGGATTATACATATATTTAAGCAACACCTCAAGTAGCAGAGGATTTAATATATGGGGTTAGTGACCATAATTGCAACTGGCAACTCAGTCAATTAAGAAAAGCAGTTGGCAAAGTGAAGTAAATTGTGTTTGTGATCGAACTTCAACTTTCCTTTGCTTTACAGACTTGTAAAGGTTGTAAATGCAAGGATTGTTGTATTTTTTACCACTTTCATGACTGCAAAGGGGCGCTAAAAGAGGAGGCTGCCAAATGAGAACCACCTATAAAATACGTTTATGTAACAAACCGCAAAATTTAATTCTTATCCACAGTGGTGTATTTTAGAGGCTTAATTATAGGATTACTGGTAGTCCTTGATTTACAACAATCTGATTAACAACTGTTTGAAGTTATGATGAGGCTGAAAAAAAATATTTACAATCCACATGAGCACTGCAGTGTCCCCCACTGTCATGTGATTAAAATCCGGGCATTTGGCAACTGGCATGTACAGGGAGTCCCGACTTACAACGGTTCATTTAGTGACCACTCAAGCAATGGCATTGAAAAAAAGTGACTTACGACCATTTTAAACATGACTGTTGCAGTATCCCCATGGTCACTTGATCAAAATTCAGGTGCTTGACTGCTGGTTCATATTTGTGATGGTTGCAGTGCCCTGGGATCATGTGATCACCACAAAGTGTCAGAAGGTTCCAAACGATGATCACTTACAAACATGTTACTAACTGAACAAATGCAGTGATTCACTTAACAACTGTGCCAAGGGTCAAAACTCACTTAACTATTGTCTCATTTAGCAACGTAAATTTTGGGGCTAAGTTTTGGCCTTTAAATCGAGGACTACCTCAATTCCTGGTTGCAGCATCCCAGAGTCACATAATCTCCATTAGTCACCTTCCCAGAAGGCTTCCAACAAGCAGTCAGTGAAAAAAAAAAACCTGGGATTTGCTTATTGTGTGATGCACTTAATGACTACATCCATTAGCAATGGAAATTTCATTCCTAATTATGGTCACAAATTGAAGAATATCTGTATATCCATCCCAAGAAAGAAAAGTTCATATTTAATCACTAATTAACTTTTCGGTGAATCCAATAGCAAACTATGTTACTGATTCTTTTTCAAGGGTTGAGAAACTAACTTTTGATATCAGGTAGTGGTTATAAGCAAACCAAGGGCAACATGTAAATTGGTTTATAGTGAGGTTCTTCTGACCACGATTCCAGCCCAGTTATGTCCTTTTCTTAAACCTTTAAATGACGTCCCAATTTATTTTTATCTGACTTGACCATTTATTTAAATCTGTGCTTTTGAGGATGACCTCACAGGAGTCCATTCAAATGAAGAAACTGATCACACAACACAAAAGTTGTGCATCATGGGTTTTAGTGTCATTAGAATCAGCAAAGTATGAAGAAAAAAACTGCTATATGATTCATATTTATTAACAGGGAAGTTGCAAGTTATTTGGAGGAAGCTCTTAAAACATCAAAAGATGTTCTTCTGCTCAAAGAACATATGGAACACTAAGCATATGCAGATCTGTTTATAGCTGCCTTGGTAAGTATATTTTTAATTCATCTAAATATTTTTAATTCACCTCAACTGGTCCCACGATGTTTTATAGACAGAAACCTCTACAGAAAAAAATGCATTTTGGTTTCCCTCAGGCAATTTGATGGTATTTCTTTTACAGCGAGGAAATTAAAAAAGAAGAAAGGAAAAACCTGGAGCCATGTTCAGCTATTGGGATTTTTCTGTGTATTTTCCCTAAATTAAAATTACACTCAAGTACTACATTTACATACATACACACTCACAAACACACACACACACTTTCCAGATATACTTCATATATTGATGAATATTCACCTATTAAATAGGAGTTTGAGAATTAGATCATCTTTTATAATCTTTAGTAAAGTATACTATCTGGAGTTTTAGTGTATTGGGAACTGCAGAGAAGGTTTTCAAAACCCATTCGGTTACTTGTGGATATTTCCATATGCAGTATATATTTGCCAATTCAGTAATTCAATAGTAAACCAGTATTTACAACCAAGATATGAACTTCAAATACCATCACAAGCTGAATTGTCAACTTATTCATTCTTTTCCCAAGTTATTGGAAAATGAAAAATAACTTTATAGAGAACATTTATTCTATTTAAACCTGAAAATGTCAGCATCTAGCAAATTAAATGTAAGCAATAAATTCCTAGCTTCCCTAGGAACTTGTTGCTTACATTTCAAAACAAATTTCAGCCATGATTATAAATTTTATAACATAGGAGTTAGTCAAGAGCTTTGATTTATTGAAACTCAAATGAATCAACATCCAATGTAATAAAAAAAATTCCTAGTAAAATGAGTGTTATTGAGCCGTTGTGTTTCTTAAGGTATTTATTAGGTCTTATGTATCTATAAAACCTTCAAATGTATGAGAATATCATGTCTGTATAGCAGGTAACATTGGTTTCCACAACATAGGCACTAGTTGCTGTGTATTTTGTTCACTTTTTAAAACTTGTTTACAGATGTTAATAGTTAAAGATGGGCACTGAACTTCTAATGACTGCAATGTTTTGGCAGCCAAAATTATTTTTCATAATTGTCAATAATCATATCATAAGGAAAGCAGAGTTTGAGGATCTAGCATCATCACAATAGTAGAAAAAAGATGCCTTTAACAACTTTTGTAAAGGAGAATAAAAGTTAGTTATTTGCAAGATAACACATTGAAAGAGGCACCCTGGTTTTAACTGATCTCACTACATTTTCTTTTAGCTTGATTTAGGCTGCATTAAGGCACATGCAATAGGACAATCATGTACATCTTTGGAATTAATCCAATAGAAATAGCAAAATGTACTTTTTTAAAAATTTTCTTTTAAAAACATAATCTGTTTTTTTGTTATGAAACTTCTATACAAAATTATAAAATTTACATCATCTGAGCTGCCCAGGAGGTAAAAGTATAATTTCTCCACAGAACTAGTTATTTTCATGATAAGTCAAACAGCCATATAAATAGTTCAGCCATGAAGGAATTTGAGGAGATTATCTTAGTAGAAAACCAACCACGGTTCTATAATAGTGTATTTCCCTTATCCAAAAACCCAGAAATCAACAGCTTAACATTTATGGGAATGACAACAGTGGAAAGTCACTGACAGACAAATGGGAGGAGACATGACAGCAAAGAACTTTGCTCAGTGCACTTGTGCTCTGTTCAAATGCTTGGAATGAAATCAGGCACTTTTCTTCCGCCAAGAAGCACCTTCCCAAGAAATGACACAAGGACAAGATGAATTGGATCGTCGGTCAAATACATATGAGGAGGGTTGGATGGATGGCATTTCCAGGATGCAACAGTAAATGTTTCGACAGCGGAGAGAAGACACAGGAGCAACAATCTGCAGGATGTGAGGCTCTACACAGAAGTGGTCACTCTGTCATTGGCATTATTGACCTCATTTTTGTTTGAATCCAGTCCTTTAGCAGCATTCAGATCATTCCGTAAATTCTCCACTGTCTTTTTCATGTTCTTTAATTCCCCAGGGTGTGGAGTGGCTCGCCTTAGGAGTGTCCGCTAAAAACAAACAGTGGAGTAAATGATTCTTTGTGTCTGCCTTCTTAAAACTGTATTTCTCTATTCATTAAATGGCTTTTTCCAGTTTTAACAGCTAAAAGGTTTATTAGTTAGGTGTATTGTGAAATAGAAACATAACCAATCATCATTCTCATGCTGTAATAGCCGGGGCAAGAAAGAAGAAGAAATGTGTTACAGAGAAAACATCCAGCAAAGGTGCCTTGGAGTCTGCAAAGGTGTTTGTGAAGCACCTGTCTGCAATTCCTTTAAACAGCTGGGAAGGACAGGTGGTGTTTAAGGAGTTGCCTACAGATTCAACATGAATATCAAAGCAAGCACAGAGGACCTTTGCCATGTCAAATCTGATGGGCTGTACAAACTTACTATACAAAAAGCTGAAGTGCTGCTTTCTCATCTACTAAGTTCATGAACTTCCTGTCATACAAATGCACAAGACTAACTTGTTATCAGTACTGGTTATGAGGATTAATGTTAATTTATTTGTTCTTAGATGAAATGTCTTGACTAGTCGCTATCACTGAGTCCACCATTCCAAGTTTAAGTACTTATAAAGATGACAGTACTGCTACAGCTTTTTTTTCTAGCATATGGATTTCATATAGTTACCTATACTGTTTTCAAAAGAATATTTGTATCTCACAAGAAGAAATAGAAAACCTCTTTTCTTGAACAACAGATTCTGCCGCAAAAAAAGATTGCAAGCTGATTTGAAATACAAAAGTTTCAAAAAAAGATTTATGCCATAATATAGGAATCTGATGCTCCAGGAAAGTATATGAAGAGATATTCAATTTGGTATTCTGATTATTTTGTCTGGGCTCTTTTAACAATAACTTGAGATGTCGGTCTAATTTATCTCCAGAAATTATAGAGGATTATTTAGTTCTATTCATGGTTAATCTGTCAATTATGCCAATGATATTTCTTATCTGAAGAAGTGATATGCATATAAATGTTGTGGATATATACTTAAGATGCTATGTACAATATTTCAAGATGCATCTTTTCTTCAGAACTCTATAACATGGACTCTGGGAAATAAACCAGACATGTCCGTACACATAGTTCCAAATTCTCCTATGTGAATAGCCAGATCTACAAGCATACAGGAATTATACTATATCTTAACTCATAAGCCACAGTAATTATGTAACCAAAAGAAAACAACCTTACATTATTGTAATATCCCCCAGACTTCTGAAATACAAAATAATTTTGAATGCTCCACAACATTATATAGTAGCAAATATTGTATTTTTATTTTAGTTTAGTTTAAAAGAAAATCACCCATTATGGAAGACCTGTTCTACTGTTAATAGTCTTTTTTAATGGCAGTTAAATTTGCCCTGAAATTATTACGTGTTTTCAGCAACCACCTGCTATAATTATACAATTAAGAAAGATTGTTGTAAGTTGTATGTTGGTATATACATGAGGTTTAAACAGCTTAGTGTTAATAATATATTGCTAATACATTTAATAAACACTAAACAGTGTTAATCTATATGGTGCTTAAAATTTTGACAAGTTTTAATGAAATTAAATGAATGAATTCTAGCAACACTGATTGACAAGAGGATAGTATTTATATGAAAATGCACATTCTTAATCAGCCTTATTGATTTGAGGAGGGTAAAGACTGAAATCGACAGAAATTAATTTTCTTTTTTTTTATTATTTACTGTTTTATCATAAAAAGTAAAATACAAAACAGAAAAACATTTTTGTTGTTGTTTCAGGGGTGAATGTGTGCTGTTTTGTTTTGTTTGTTTTTCTGTTTTTTATTTTACTTTTAATTTTTAAAATATTAATTAATCAGGATAAGTACGTGTGGAATAATTTTTGACCTTTAATCAATTATTAAATTAAAACCTTTAACTGAAAATATGGTGAATTTTCAAAACAGGAACATTCCTTTCCTATGCATATTTAAATTTATTTTAGGCTCATACTACACTTTATTTCAGATGCTAGCTTGGTTTACACATTGTGCTAAATTGTTTTCTTAACCATTGGTTGGGTTCCTATGACTATGCTACATATGTTACAATTTATAAACCATAAAGTCTGATTCACACAACAAGCTAAGCCAAAGTTTTAGCTTGGGTTTAGACCTATGGATATCTTACGTCTGTATGTCACATAAACTCTTCTATCACTCAGTTATAATTTGGAAGCATGATTGGTTGCTGCTTGACATTTGAACTTCCTTCAGAATGATTCTGAATGTGAGTATGCACTGTGTGTGTTTCAACAGAGGTCTCATAAGAACAGTGACAGATGTTGCCACCAAACTCTCCTTCATTTGAACAGGATGGTAGCTCAGAGGTTCCAGGCATCAGTGCAAATGGTTATAAAATGAAGGAGGGACAATGGAAGGGACAGCAGAGAGGTGGATGAAATAATGGTGGTGATGATAGACCAGTGGAAATTTCCCAGAGATCATTGCCTAAAACACAAAACTTTGCACCTTTTGTAAGAATTCTCATCTCTCTTTTTGCTTTAGGAAAAAGCGAATCCGCCTCCTCGTCAAAGAAGCAAAAAGAAGAGCAAACTAGCACAAAGTCATGTGTTTAAAACAAAATTAAAAAAAAAATTGGGATCACAAATTGTATGTCGTGCAGTCTACTGCTATTCTGAACATTATTTCAAGACTATTATCAGCCTACTATTCCAGCATAATTTTGCATTTGCTTCCTAAGAAAACTCACCATCTCATTGTCTTCTTCATCTTTTTCATCATCTAAAAAGCGAATTGCACTGACTCTGTTTACTGCCCGTTCATTCCACGTTTCATCTGACATTTCATTTACCAAGTTCTCCAATGCGCCGCACCGGGGAAGGTTATCTGTTATGACAGCAGACAAATAGAGACAGCAGATGTGTATGTCACAGATGTTAATGTCACGGTATATTCAAGCATGGATGCCACATTTTTATTGAAAACTATTTGAAAATAACATTCAACATTCACTTGAGATGCCATTTCTATTAGATTATTTTTCATTGATTAAACCTCTCTGTGTTTGGTAACCTTTCGTTTCATGAAACTTATTTATAGTGAAATAAAAGAACCTCTTCTTTACCTGTTGATGTCTTCAATGTTATGTAATTATACCTACTATTTTCCACAACATTAGCATATTTCATCATTTATATTTAAAATATTTCACATAGGTCCATGCTGCTTGTTACAAAAGGGGACTGACTTCCCCCGCTATGCAGATGAAAACCATATTTGCTTCCCATGATCTTAAAAAAAGTTTACCTTGGCAAGTAGGCTCAGAAGGCATTTGAGGAAGTAAAACACATGTTAAAATTTTCTCTCCCATTTCAGGGTCTGTATCTGTCTGGAAGGTAAGCAAAGGCTGAGACTGGTTATCAGACAACCACAAAGCTTTCAGTTTCAAGCTAGTCAGTGACATGGGAAGATGTATCAACCTAGCGGAGAGAACAAGGAATTAATTTAAGATTTCTTATCCAACTATGCAGAACAAAGCAAAGCATTAAAGATGTTTGAAGCACATTTGTTGTTTGTGCTATAAAGAAAATATCCCACTGTCTCTCTTTGGAAAGAAAAGGGAACATATTCCAAGGTCCGTGTTAAAATATACACAATAAAGTCCCCTGGGCAAATATGCCCCTTGCAGTGCCATAGAAATTTAGCTACATAGCAATGCTAAAGTCTATAAGGTATCAGGTGTTCCAAGTTAAATACAGATTTACTACATTGTTCAGAATAATAAACATATTGTGTTCCCAGGAAAGAACTTGGCATTTACATACCACATTGTTTAGCACCAAACATATTTCTTTAGGTGCAGGATTTTTTTTCTACTCCTTAATTGGCCTCCAATTCATATTTCATGCATTTGGTACATTGTTATTGTGATAATTTGAGTTGAGGATGATAGAAAGAAGTACAATTCTGTATTAAGTGGTGTTCGATTAGACCCAAACTGAATTGTTTCAAGCCAAATAACCAAAGCTTACCATATTCTTATAACAGCAGAAAATCCCACTGTCTATCACAGTCAAAAGGCAAAGACTCCCTCAAGTCAAGTTCAATTCCTGGCCACTATATGGTCATGTCAGTGAAGTTCTCTTGGCAGAAAACAGTTTTGCCTTTGTCTTCTTCTGGGATGTCCTCCTCCCCAACTTTCAAATCTCATCTAGGGGCCATGGCATTTGTAAGAAATGTCCCTCCAAGTACTAAGCAAATTCAACCATTCTTAGGTTTTCCAAACTCCATCAAGATCATCTGGACACTGCTATATTTTACCTGTTTCAATGTACAGACTTCAACATTGTTGTTGTGACAGCACCTAGACCCGCTTAGCTGATGTCAAAAGCTAAATGCAGGTAGTGCAGTGATTAAAGTATTAAAGCAAACTCTGCCCAAAGCCTAGAGGTTTGATCCTGATGGGACTCAAGGTTGACTCTGCCTTCCATCATTCTGAAGTTGGTAAAATGAGAACCCAGTTTGTTGGGGGAAATATGCATTGTAAACCATCCAGAGAGTGTTATAAAGCACTACAGGGCAGTATATAAGTCTAAATGCTATTGCTAATGCTAAATGTTAAACTGGTTAATACTTGGAGGTGAGAATACCATGAAATGCTAGAGTTGTTTTTTTTAATTGAAGACATTTGGTCACATGAGGTTCCTGATATTACTGAAATAGTTATGGTGAAGGGTTTTTAAAACTCCGGAATATTTTTCTTTTCCATAAGAAAAATGTGCATCTCTTTTTAAAAGTATAATTACAACAGAACCCTTGGAAGCAGAGGTGGTATTCAGCAGGTTCTGACCAGTTTTGGAGAACCAGTAGCGGAAATTTTGAGTAGTTCGGAGAACTGGCATATGCCACCTTTGACTGGAGATTTTACAGTATCCTTCCCCTGCCACGCCCACCAAGCCACGCCCACAGAACCGGTGGTAAAAAAATATTTGAATCCCACCACTGCTTGGAAGGTACATCAGGGAATCTCACAGGGAATTTATCTGAATAGGAAAGGTGATGGACTGAGCAGCTAAGGACCGTAACTTCTTTTCCATTGGCAGTGAATAAGAGAGAGACTCACTACATCCCTAGTCTAAAACATTTCCCCGGGGACAAGATCATAACACCTCTTGTATTTTTGAGAATGCAATTTTTATTACCATTCTGTGTGGCTATCCAGTGAATTTGATTTACTAGTTAACATTGCTTTGACTTAACTGGGACCAGCCTATAACACCAGATTATGAAGTATTTGCCCCCAAGCCCATCATCTCCCATAGTAAGAATATTAAGAAATCTGTCAGTTCAAATCCACTACAAAATGAATTTAGAGCAAATATGAAAACTTGCCTGTTTCCAGCTACATCAAGAACATGAAGCTCTGTGGCATGCGATATCTCCGGTGGAATCCTAGATAACTGATTGTCCCGAACTGAAAAGACATTTAAGCTGCAACATCCACCAATCTGTTTTATAGAAAGAAAAGAGACTGAATTATTGTGAAGTATCACGTAAATCATGTAAACTGAGTACATACTGTAGTGAATTACTACAAATGAAGGCAGTCCTTGGTAACTAGGATAATCATGTTTGTGCAACATTTCACTTAAACGGCAATCTTAGGAGACCTTAAAACAAGATAAAGTTGCAGATATGGAGACGAATGGACCACATTATAATAAGTAACAAAAGGATTTTAAAACACAAATTAGGCAGTGTGGTGTAACAATTAAAGAGACTACACTAGGACTGGAAAGACTCTTAATTCTTAGTCAGGATAACTAAAAGGGGGAAATGGGCTAATCATCCTCTCTCAGCCCAGCTTATTAAATAGATGCTGTTGTTATAAGGATAAAAGGGAGGGAGATCCTTTTGTATACTGATCTGAGCTCAAGAAAGGCAGGATATAAATCTAGCAAATAAGTAAATAGATATTATGGTTCCACTGCTTCCATTCAAGTAAGAAAAATGCTAGGTGTTAGCATCAATGTATAATATAGTTCCTGAATAAACCATTCAACTAAGTTTGGTCTGATATGAATTAAAATAATTACAATGAGGTGGTAACCTTATACCAGGGGTGTCAAACTCGATTTCATTGAGGGCTGCATCAGGGTTGTGTTTGACCTGCGGGGGGCAAGTGGGCATGGCTGGGGAGGCGTAGCCAGCTCAGCATCCTGCAGCTCTCTGCCAGCGAAAACAAAGCCAGGGAAGGTCGTGTGAGGCCCGCCCGAGCTCCAGTTTTGCTGGCAGAGGCACTGTGGGCTGGTCCTTTGCTGTTTCCAGGGCAGCCCCGTGGGCCAGATCTAAGCACCCCATGGGCCTTGAGTTTGACACCCCTGCCCTATACATTCAGTCAGAAAAAAGCTATGGAATTCAATATACTTCGAACATACTGTACATAAGACTGTACTCTAAATATAATATTTATAGAGCCATGAGGCAATCTGGATTTAAATGGGGAAAGGTGACCTAGGAGGTGGGGGGAGCATATACCAGTTAGGAAATTTTTTTAAAACCCTGATTTACGTGATACTTCACAGCAGCAGTAATTCAGTCTCTTTTCTTTCTATAAAACAGATGGCACTTAAGATGGGGTTCCCCTTTCAGTGGTTTTCAGGGTTAATATTACACTTTCTGAGTTGTCTGTGAGGGTGAGGTTAGGGGAAAACATATTGTGACCATTCTACTATTTTCTAACTGGGCAATTCCAATGAGTTATTATGAAGGGGAGGCATGTGAACGTTGCTTCTCAAATTGGCAAAAGGGCTGAAAGTTATTAAAATAGGGCAGAGATGCAGACGATCCAAACTTCACAAAGAAATGAAGCATTCCTCCCTACTTAGTTCAACATGTACATGAAACCACTAGGAGAGGTCATCTACTAGCATACTATAAAGTATCACTAGTGTGTAGGTAAAATCTAATTGAATATTTCTACTTCAAGCTGAATTGCAGTAGCAGATCTGACCAGTGCTTGGAAGTTGTAGAATTCAGGTGGGGGGTGGGAGGGAACAGGCTTAAATTGAATGCAGGTAAGGTGGACTGCCTGTTAATTCAGAAGTGAGTTCGTTCCAGGACGTTAACAAGCTTGCATTTGTATGTGGGGGGATGTTCCCCCAGAGCAGCCCTACAGTCTAGTCATATCCCTAGACTCACAACTGAAGAAAAGATGGGAGCTATTAGCAGATAGTCTTTCATCTGTTTATTATAATTGGTGCACCAGGTGTGACCTTCTCTAGAACATGAGGTATTAATTCTGTCCCTGTCTTCTCTTAGCCAGAGTACTATAATTCATGAATCTGATAACAGGTCAGACCCATGATTTTCCTAATATACTTTTGTTATGGATGTTGCACCAGCTACTAGTCTGTTTCCATATACAATTCAAAGTGCTAATTCTTATTTATAAAATGCTTTATGCTTTAGTTCTAATTATCTTCAAGACCACTTTTTATGGGTAAACTCTGCCTGCTCCATAAGAATAAATAGAGGGTAACTGATGGAAGCCTCTGCCTATCCTGAAATTGGCTTGGACGCTACTACATATAGATTGAAAAACATTTTTTATTTACTACGATAAATCAATGTCTTCAGCTTGAAATTTAATGTAGCTAACACTAGGCATGTTGAACTTGTAACAACATAAGATCCTAATTCTACAACTGAAAATCTACAGAACGGCTTATCCCTAGTAGTCAGATTGTCCCATTCCTTGGATTTTAGAAGCTTGCTTTTTTTAAAGTGGATTTCAGAACAGAAGAAATGAAATTTGTCCCCGAGAACAAGAGGGTGTCCTAGGAATGTATTATAGTGACATAATTCAATTTGTTTGTTTCATTTGTAAGTCGATTAGGGCCAGTTAGACTAAAACAATATGGAAATCAATGATAAGTGTCTTGACACATGTAATCTCGGTCTCCAAATCACCTTTCCCTTTTCAATCCAGCTCACTGCACTGCTCTAATCATTGTAGATTTTGTAATAATTATTCTGCCACTGTTTCATATTAAGCTCCCAAATCCCATTTTTCTCCCCATGTGTAAACGTAGATCAAATGTTAAGAAATGCATTGAAAGTGATGCCACTTCAGTATTAAAATACAATACAGACCTATTCACCCAAGGCAAAACCTTTGCCTCTTCAGTTCACTCTGCTCACAGTGTAAGTATTTAAAATACAAAGACATACATTTCCTGCATGTTTGCCATCTGCATCATGCATTAATTGAAGATACTTCCATTGAAGATACTTCAATTAATGTACTAAGACAAATGGAGTTCTTAGACTTTTATATAATTCTTAATACCCCAAATCTGCAACGTAACTGCAAACAACAGAGTCTTTCTTTTTTTAAAAAGAAAGGGGAAAAATACCTCATTTACTAGGTGTGGTCTAAATTGTACCAAATCAATTTGATCTATTAATAAATCAGCAATTCTAAAGTTTTATTTTAACAAGTAATTTCTTTAGGAAATCACTGCCAAAATACAAAAATTGTGTTTATTTTAGGTTACTATGAATAGGTTGAAGAATATTTTTAATTTACTGTTTGAAATCTATGCCTCTTGTTTGAAATTTAAGATAACTAACACTATCCATGTTGAATGGAGAACCACAACATTACCTAAATCCACAGCTGAAAATCTAATTTTAGATGGCTAGCATGCTATGACAAATGCAATCACATTTCCCCTTATAAGATGCACAATATGGATGACATTTCTATCAAATGCCCATTTTAATAGATAAAGAAATTCTACCATTATTTGCCACAAATGGTATTGGTTTAAAAAGGGACTGAACTCCTTAAAATTGGGCACAATTCTTTTATCAAGAAGCCATTCGTGATTATCAAAGTAAAAATTCATTGCTATAGTTAAATCCAATGAAATCCAATTCTAAATTCCTGAATAATACCTAGCTATTGAAGTTAATTTAAGTAAACCTATTTTGATCTGTTGCCTTTAAAAATGAAATTCTTTTCAATAGTCACTCTAAGCACTACACTTTTCATCAGTTTAATATTTATATAAAATGTTACCAACAAATATTTTCATATTTCCTTCCATTATGAACATGTACACTTTCCTATTTTCATGCAAGGAGTCAAGAATAGGAGCAACAGCAAGATAATTGTTTACTTTTAAAGTCATAACTACTATTAAAAGTGAGAAACCATGCACTAGATTTCTGGAAGTGTTTTTGTCAGTTTGCAGGAGATAAAGTGCTGCAAGAAAAATATTGTACTCGTCTGACTAAAATAATCTAAAATTGATTAACTGAAATACATAAAAAAACAACCGCACACAGTTTTCGTGGTTAGTGAATGTTAGATGATTCCTTGTTGTGCACAAGGAGTGGTTTGCTTTGAACAGCTGTGTCTCAGGGACATAAGCAGAATGAACCTGGCCATGCAGCCTCTTTGAAAGCATCCACTCTCTTAAGCTGGGAAATTCAAGATTTGGGGGCAATGAAAGTGCAGTGGTGCAGCCAGCTAGTTTGAATCATCATGCATTGAAAGCAGTCAGATGAAGGGAGCTGGTGAAACTGTGGGCTGAACGGTACTTACAGTAACAAGAATTACCTGACTCAAATTTCCAAGCAGCTAACAATTAAGAAAAACACAAGATACAATTGTTGATTTAACACAGAGCACTGTACTGTAAACACAGACTGCACAATGCTTTTACCAAACACACACACACACACACACACACACACACAATGACAAGAGAACACAGCATTTTCATTAATTTAAAGTTTTACAAAAGAAGTAAATGAAAGTGTGCCTCCCCTAACGCTCTAAAGATGCCAGCCAAGTATATTTCAGTAATTCTTAAGATATTAAAACTTAGTCTTGTCACAATTATATACCAATCCAAAATGCTACACTGTTCTCCAACTTTGGGTCACACTTGGCAAATTCTCCAAATCATTTCTGCATGCGTTCTGCAGAGTTTCTAAGTACTTACCACTTGCTTATGGTTTCTTTACAATGGATATAATAAACTGACACACAGACATGGCTTAAGGATATTTTTTAAAATATTATATGAAACTTAGCTAAATAGAGCAGAACAATCACCAGATATTTAGTACCTGCGTACACCTGGGGCATTCTGGGGCGTACACCTGGGGCATCACCTAACTGTTAAGCATGGGTGCAAATTAAAAGATATACTATTATGCAGTTCTGCCTATTACTAAAGTCTCAAAAGCAAAGCTTCAATATTAAACTGTAAGCCTTTGTTGTAACATATTTCACTCTCTTTTTACAAAATGAATTTCAATTTTTAATATATTTACAGAACTCTTGGCAGGACAAATACATCCCAAGTGCAACAAAATTTTGATCCTGATATGCAAGAAACTTACTTGGCACTATGAGGTGAAAAGTTAGGATTTTGAAGGTGGGCAAAACAATTCTTTGCAAGAGTAGTTTGAGTTCTGTGACAATCACAAA